CTCTGTCTCTCTCTCTCTCTCGCTCGCTCGCTCGCTCTCTCTGTCTCTCTCTCTCTCTCTCTCTCTCTCTCTCGCTCGCTCGCTCTCTCTGTCTCTCTCTCTCTGTCAGGTGACTATGAGAAAGGCGTGGATCATCTGACGAATGCGATCGCCGTGTGCGGTCAGCCGCAGCAGCTTCTGCAGGTCCTGCAGCAAACGCTTCCTCCTCCAGTCTTCCAGATGCTCCTCACCAAACTGCCCACCATCAGCCAGGTGACACACGTTTGAAACGGAATTAAAATATGCAATATGTGCATGGGTCAAAGACGAAAAAGGGTTTAAGCATGAAAACATTTTGTTTTTCTGAGCAAAAAATAAATATCATACATTTTCCCCTGATTTACAGAAGAGACCCACTAAAATGTCATTCAGTGTAACAATCTTGTCAGGCATATTTACAACAAAAATCAATTTATGACATATTAAAAGACTAATTATTTTCACCCCAAATACTAATTAGTTGTAATTTTACATTTTTTAAATGTGCCACTATCCTAGGTTTTGCCCATTTGTCAGTAAGAATTTTTACTCATTTAAAACACAATCAAATTTGATAAGCTCCTTTATTCTTTTATATATTTTAATATGTACACGTCAGAATAAGCATGTCGTTTGAATTTTTACATAAATATTGTGTTACACTGAATGACAATGTAACATTATTTCAACCAAATTTTAACATTTTATTCTCCAAAAATGTATTTGAAACCTTAAAAGTAGACACTTGCATTTAATGTGCTTTCTATGGACATATAATCACTTTTGTAAATTTCTTTTAAAGATCTTAACGTCTTTGACCCGCATATATTATCTGCTTCATATTCATGAGCAGTGTTGGGGAAAGTAACTTTTAAAAGTGATGCGTTACAATATTGCGTTACTCCCTAAAAAAGTAACTAATTACGTTACTTAGTTACTTTTTATGGAATGCAATGCATTGTTACTTTTTAAATCTGGGCAGTGCTTGTTTGTTTGTTTTTAATATAAAAAAGTTATTCTTTTATAAATGTAAAAGCCATTTTCACAACAAAAGTGAAATGAATACAGCCTCAGGCTGAAGGAAATGTAAATCCACGTCTGTACAGTAGAGGGCGCAGCTCAAACAAATCGCATGAAGAATATGACGCAGGAGAAGAAAGTTCAACAATATTCAGCAATAACAAAAATGAAACACAAATGTGTCATTTTTGCTTATTAGTATGGTTGAATTGGATCATCGAAGGTCAGCAGCAAAGACATTGGTTAATAAAATGGGATTAAATACAAATTATATTTGTCTTATTTAACATATTTAATTATTGCAAGTTTGCGTCAACACTGAATGTGTTTGTGTGCAGTGAGATGAGTAAACACATGTTCATATTTAGTCTAGAGCTACAGTAAGATCATGTTCACACACAACGCTCTGCACTTACTCCTGATTTCTGTCACCATGGCAACACCAGAGCTGTCACTCAACACATGGAAACAAAGTAACTGGCATTACTTATTTGAAAAAGTAACTCCGATATTTCCTTCTTAATTACAAAGTAATGCGTTACTTTACTAGTTACTTAAAAAAAGTAATCTGATTACGTAACTCACATTACTTGTAATGCATTACCCCCAACACTGTTCATAAGACAAATACATGTTTTTATTATTATTTAAATGTCTTCTAAATTCCCAAATGCTAATCTAATGCTCCTCTCTTTTTCGTTGCAGCGTATCGTCAGCGCTCAGAGTGTCAGCGACGACGACATCGAGTAGAAGACCTCCAGCAGCTCTGTGACATCACTTCCTGTCTGCTTCGACTCAATCAATCGCTCTGTCCCGCCCCCTTTCCATCCAGTTCTCAAACACTGAACGCACAGATACGGATTTAAAGAAGTGTCATAGTTTTGTTTTGAATCTGAGCTTCTGAGTTTGTCCTGTTGAAGTTGGCGTGTTTTCAGTGTGTTAGAATGGCAGAAAACAAGCATGACCTGCAGCAATTATTTGTTTTGCTAACAAAGCATTTTGGGTTCACTAAATTATGAAATATGCAAGCGGTAAATCATCGACTAATGACTCACCAGAGTACATGCTGCTGTCATTTATCTGTGTTCATGTATTTAAGTTGTTTTTAAAGGCTGTGAGACGTCTAATGTGGTATTGTGGGATAGGAAGCACATTTAAAGGTGCTCTGTTTCAAGTAGGGGAGAGTTTCCTCTTTTTTTTAAAACTCCAAAATAAAAAAATCATTGTATGGAGTCAATGTGTCAGAGTCATTCATGTGCCTCCATTAATAACGTGCTGCTCTTAGATTTTAGCAATACACAGTTGCAATTTAAAGCAACAGAACATAAACAAATGAAAACAAACTTAATTTGCTCTCATGTTGTTCAAACAGTCACATGGTCAAGTTTCAGGGGATTAACAATAAATTAATTAGGTAGCATGAACTAACCATGCAGACAGCATTTATTAAATCTAACATGATATTGATTAATAAATATTCTATTCATTAATTTATGGTTTTACATAATACACTAATATTAATGCAACAATGTTAAAAATGTATTTATGTAGAAATGATAATTACCTTTGATTAATTAATGCTTGTTCATGATATCTAATGCAATGATTCTTGTTAACATTACTGGAAAAGCAAACACTTTACAAACATGAAGTGAAAGTTAAAAACGGAAGCTAACTTTTTTTGTTCAAAATTAACTAAATATAATAATGCGAATACAACATAAATCTATAAAACTTAGTTTTTGCGTTACGCTAAATTACTAGGCCTACAATAATTATTTATATTTTACAGCTGTCGGGACGGATTTCCCGGGAAACGGCATACTTCCGTCATTATTACGTGCGTGTTAGCGTCATTTAAATACAGGAAAGAAGTTCAGGCTACTAACAAATGAACTTCCAAAGCGTTTGCTAACAAAACAAAAGCGACACACTCATAATAAAACACGAATCAACTGTTTCAAATAATCACATTTATGTTCACAAAACAATGCCGATCTCTAAACCAGTTACAGCTTTGGTCTATTAGCCTATAAATAGCCTTGCCAAGTTATAGTTATCTGATATGAATAGCAATCGTTATGTCAAGCCTTGCCAAACTTTTGTAACATTATATTAAAACAATTAATTTCAACAAGTCAAAACAACAGCGTCATATAAGCTCTTACCTGACATTATTTGCAGTTATCCGTCTTCCTTTCGATGTCATTAGTTTGATTCGTGCTGAAAAATGATGATCTGTAATCTTGATCAGATTCATCCGCGCGAATCGCGAAGCGCAACCCACGTGACGACCAAAACAATCTTCCTCCGCGAGCTACTTGTAGTTTTACGCTTCAACCGATAGAGGAACAACTGGAAATTAAAAGATTTTATGGGTCATTATAAAAAAAGACAGAAACATGAGTGTTTAATCACATTTTTACTTGTGACATAAGAACACCAAACCCGTAAAAATACAAGTACAAGCATTAAATATGAACACTTGGTTTCTTGTGCTTAAATTTCTTTTTCAGTCCTTTGCCTCTTTTGGCAGTAGGATCCGCCATCTCTCCTTTGAACGATGAAGCTGGTGTTTGTTTCTTGCCAGGATTTGCCTTAAAGTTCTTTCCTCCCGTCTTATTTCTGATTTCTTGCTTTGACCCTTTGAATCTTGAAGGTCGGCCTGGAGGGGTTTTCTTTTCTTTTTCCTTCTTCACGGATCGTTTGACCCTGATGTTTCGATCTAGTAATTTGGAGCCGTCGAGTTTCAGTGCCAGCATCACCGAATCTGGGCTCTGATACAGAAGGAAAGGTTTCAGTGAGTTTTACCACATCTGCACACTTTATTAAAGACTATTTATGAGGTCATTAAACATGAATTGGAATTTTGAAATAAAATGGAACTTTACTTCCAGAACTGCTCTATTAACCCTGTAGAGCCTGACATGTAAAATGAGAATTTTATTTTTTATTTTTTATTGAACAATTCTTTTTAACCTTTAGACTATAGAAAAATTTACCAAAAAAAGTTTGCATGTGTGTTTCTGTTGAGTATCATATTAAATCCAATCAGATTCAATCATATTCAATGGAAGAAAAAAAACAGCTTAATTTTATTTAGAGACTCAAATTAATTTGCTGCAGATGCTGATATTTCTATGATGAAATTCTGATGCTTGTAAATCAATGAGATCTTTATAACAGTACAGCAGATACTGACATAAAATGATCTAAATATCAGTCGTCGCTCTATATCTCCAGTAATAAGATGAGATTGAAATGCTCCAAACATATAATGCAGTGATTGAGAGCTGAAGAAATAAAGGCTCCTCAGAAGATGTGAGATGTTCTGGAGGCTTGTGAAGATCATTCCTCCGCTGAGGAACAGTGAAAGTAAAGCTTCTGGAAACAAACGCTCCTCAAAAGATCCTGAGGATCAGATTTGAGACTCTAAAACATGATTGATGGAGAATCAAGTAAAGCTGAGCTGCTTCAGTCCAGTAAGTGTTCATTTGGAGATATTACTGCAGTTATTCTGACCTTTACTTGATCAAAATCAGTCAAGATTTGACACGAGAAGCTCCAGCTGAAGCTGAACATTTGTACAATTACACTAAAATAGCTTTTACTGGATAAAACACTCTAAACTATCAATCAGAGACTGAAGACGTGAGGAGATTGAGTGTGAAGTAAGGGATAATGTCTTCCATTGTAACACGCGGTGGTTAAGTGTTTTCAGTCACAAGATGGCGCCAGACAGTCAACGATAGCGGAGTGACTCATTAAACATATAAGTAGTACCGGTCAAGATAACTCATAGTACCCGGATGAGCAGTGTGTTATTCAATTTGGCGGTTGTTATCTGGGAATAACATAGCGCAATTGACCAATCAGAATCAAGTATTCCACAGAGCCGTGTAATAAACAGGTTTAACAGCAAAGTTTTGATGGTGATGATAATATAAAGGCCTTAAATGTGCACGATTTTTAAATATTGTTCTATCCTAACAAACCATACATCAATGGAAAGCTTATTTATTCAGCTTTCAGATGATGCATAAATCTCAATTTTAAAAAACTGACCCTTATGACTGGTTTTGTGCTCCAGGGTCACGTATATGATACAGTCAGCTTTACCTCAAACAGGACGTAGCCGAAGCCCTTCCCCATCCCAGACTCTCGGTCTCGCACCAAACGCACCGCCTCCACATTCCCACAATCCTCGAAGTGTTCACGCACCGGAAGCTCCATTATATCTGCCATAAAAAACAAATAAAGTGTTCATAAGAGAAACTGTGGCGTCACAGAAGATATAGAGATTTCTCAACACTGTTACTCACCGTACGGTAAATTTCCCACAAATATGGACCTTTTATGATCATGCTGAGGAAAAAAATATTGATGATTATGTAAACACGTTCAAAATCGGCTGAATTATATTAACAACATTATTAATGACACTCACTCCACTGTGCTGAGAGACGCGGTCCACTCGGATATGAAACCCCGGCTGAATCTCCTGCCCATTCCTGCACAAGAATCATATGCTTTTGACAATATATTAGAATTTTATTCAAACTGAATAAACAGCTGATGAAAACATTACAATAATCCACAGCACTCCAGTCCATCAGTTAACATCTGGAGAAGACAAAAGCTGAAACTAATCCAGCATTAAGACGCTTTTAACTAAAATACGAGTCCATAATCCATAATAACTCTTCCTCCAGTGAAAAAGTGTTCTGGTGTGAATCAGGAGAGAAATCTGCACAGATCAAGCAGCTCTAAACACATATGTGGCTGGATTTTGATGTGAGAGACAACAGCAGATGCACTTTTTCACTGGAGGAAGAGTTATTATGGATTATGGACTCGTATTTTAGTTAAAAGCGTCTTAATGCTGGATTAGTTTCAGCTTTTGTCTTCTCCAGATGTTCACTGATGGACTGGAGTGCTGTGGATTACTTGTGGATTATTGTGATGTTTTTATCAGCTGTTTGGACTCTCATTCTGACGGCACCCATTCACTGCAGAGCATCCATTGCTGAGACACTGATGCAATGCTACATTTCTACAAACCTGATGAAGAAACAAACTCATCCCAATCTTGGATGATCTGAGAATGAGCACATTTACAGCAGATTTTCACTTTTTGGTGAACTATTGCTTTAATTTAAAAGTCATCGATCAATCTGATTGAGAAGATCATTCAGTAATAAAACTTCGAATCAATATAGCACATCATCTTGTACCATTTCAGCGCGCCAGCAGCTGCTTCCTCCGCTTTGAAGACGATGTAAGCATTAATATTCTGTTTTTTTGGATGGACTTTCCTCCTAGAAATGGACAGACAAGATCAGTATATTAATAACAACTAGATAAAAAAAGCTCGTCAAGACAAACTTTAGGTTGGCTTGAGAAAGCCTCGCCTGAAAGTTTAAAGCAGTTGTAAAAGCCTGAAGTTTGAAAATTTAGATAAGATTAGATAAATGTTGATAACATGTTTCTAGCATGATTAGCCTGTTACTAGCATATTGCTGGCATGATTAACATAAATTTAAATTTAAATTAACATGTTACTAGCATGTTGTTAGCATGACTAGCCTGTTTCTAGCATGATTAACATGATACTAGCGTGTTGCTAGCATGATTAGCAAGTTACTAGCATGTTGCTATCATGATTAGCAAGTGACTAGCATGTCGCTAACATGACTAGCATGTCGTTAGCATGATTAGCAAAATGACTAACATGTCACTAGCATGATTTGCAAGTGACTAGCGTCGCTAGCATGTTTCTAACATGATTAGCATGTTATTAGCATGATTAGCATGCTACTAGCATGTTGCTATCATGATTAGCAAGTTACTAGCATATGATTAGCATGTTACTAGCATTGATTAGCATGCTACTAGCATATTTAGTATGTTTCTAGCATGATTACCATGTCGTTAGGATAGATAGATAGATAGATAGATAGATAGACAGATAGATAGATAGATAGATAGATAGGAAGTCTGATTGAGTCTAATGGGCTTCAGTTTGTTTACATTTGATTTTGACAGTTGGAGTTTGAATAGTCTTGGCTCATCTGAACATTCCGTCAATGTAAGTCTATGGGATTTTTATGATTTTTAATCTTCATTTTTATGAAAACTATAAGTCGGATCAGTCTGAAAAGATACAGCACAGTAAGTCAGATCAGTCTGAAGAGCTGGGCTGAGTTTGGTGGTTCTAGCTTGAAAGCTCTAGGAGGAGTAGCGTTCAGAAACGCTACTGACTTGCTTTCTCAAGCC